TAGCTAACCTTCTCTTTCTTGTAGATATGTGGATCTTGAAAATGATGCCAGAAATAGAGTCTAGACCCGGGAATGGTACGAAAGCTAAGTACTAGTAATTTTTTTTTCTTTGTTACTTTTTTCTATTTTTCGTTCTTTTAGCTAGCCAACTTTCTCTTTCTTGTAGATATGTGGATCTTGAAAATGATGCCAGAAATGGAGTCTAGACCCGAGAATGGTATGAAAGCTAAGTACTAGTAATTTTTTTTTCTTTGTTACTTCTTTCTATTTTTCATTCTTTTAGCTAGCTAACCTTCTCTTTCTTGTAGGTATGTGAATCTTGAAAATGACGCTGGAAATGGAGTCTAGACCCGGGAATAGTCTCTGTAAAGTATACAAAGTATACTATATAATTGTCCTTATAGTGTACTATATAGTTGTTCTTATGCACATAATTGATTAGTGTAGAATCTTATTGAAGATAGCGAATTTATTTTTCTTGTTTTTTTTTAACATTAGTAATAAAGTCTGATCGAGCAGTAATCGAAAAACCAAATTCAGTAAAAATTAAATCCTTATTAAAAACTCATTGACGTAACCAACTTTATTGTTATAACCCTTTATATTTTCGTAATGATGTAACTTTTTATATTGCTATAACATTTTATATTAATATAACTGCTGAACTAAGGTTACAGCAAATGTCAGTTATTACGATCTATGTCGTTATAGCATTTTTGACGTAATGATATGTCAATTGGATGTAATCATATGTCTTCAAATGTCTGTATCTATAGTTATGAGTATTGTATGATTTTATTTGCAGCAAGTTATTGTTATGATTAGTAATGCAGTAAAATCATTTTAATGATTATCATAATCTGTTGTAATTTGTCATAACTATAGTAATATAGTAAATTTTTGTTTGGCATGTATTTGAATTTTAATATATTGATTAAAGATTGACATCCAATTTTGTTATATAAAATCAATGTCCGATTTATATAATTATTTTGAATCAAAAACAATTACACATATTAAGATAATCAAGTGTTCAAATGATTTTGAGAATAGCAATAACATGAGATAGAATAATCAAATTAAAAATATTGTATAATTTTATAATATATAAAGATAATTTATAATTAATAAATAGTAATAGTTTAATTAAAATTTTATATAAACTTTTTAAAAAAATTTTTTATATTAATTTTTTTAATTATAATCATGAATTCAACTTCTGTTTTATATGATAGTATTTTTTACAATACTCATCTAGAATTATCATCATTGCATCAACAAATAGAAGAATTTCAAATAACTTATTAATCTAATATTGAAGTAATAATACCTTATAATCCAATTGTTGAAAATTTTCATAATCAAGAAGAATTAGATAAATCTATTTTATTAGATGAATCTAATTTAAATGAATCTAGTTTAAATAATGAACAGATAAATAGATTTAAAAAAATTTATTATGAAAATAAAATTGAAAATATTGATGATAATAATGAAGATTCAATTCTAAATATTAAAAACAAATTAGAAAAAAAAGATGAAGAAGCTCAATATAAAAAGTTACAAACAACAATATGTTGTAAAGAAAAATATCTTCAAAATTTAGTTTCTCATAAACATGCTATTTTAAATTATCAAAATTTTCAAAATTTAAATAATAATCAAAAGAATATGTTTTTACTTGAAATCTTATCTGCAACTGCTCGACAAGAAATTACTACTATAGGACAAAAACGTAATAAACTTGCAAGTAAATATATAT